AAATTAGATTTATCAAAACTTTTCAAAAGAACTTTTGTACATCAAAAAACATTACCCAAAAAGTAAAATGATAAATCAGAGATATCCCATTCTTATATCTGATATGGAATTAATATCCTGAATATATAAAGAACTCATACTACTCAATAGCAAAAAAACCCAAAGAAGCCAATTTAAAAAATGAGCAAAGACTTGAACAACCATTTCTCCAAAGAAGATATATAAATGACTTATAGCATTAGAGAAAACAAATCAAAATCACAGTGATTACCTTATGTACATATATGACTGCAGGACTGATGTGATTCTACAACATGTACAATCAGAAAAATGAGAAAGTATACTCCACCTATATATGATATATCAAAGTTCAAAAATACATTCTACTGTCATGTATAACTAATTAAAACAAAAAAAAATTGAAAATCACAGTGAAATATCACTTCATGCTCCTTAGGATACTATTGCATATAAATTTTTGGCAAGAATGTGGAGAAACTGGAACCCTTGGGTACTACTAGTAGAAATAGAAAGTGGTCCAGCCACTGTGAAGACTAGGTTGGACTTTCTCAAAAAGGTAAACATGGAATTACCATGTGATCTGGCAAACTCGACTCCTAGTTAATATATTCCAAAGAATTGGAAGCAGGGACCCCAACAGATATTGTACACCAGTGTTCAGAGCATGTATGATTAATAGCTAAAAGGTAAAAACAACCAAGTCCATCAACAGAAGAAATAAATGAAATGTAATTACATATGGATATCCATGAAATACTACTTGTCCATAGAAAGGAAAAGAAACTCTGATAGATGCCATAACAGGAATGAACCTTGAAAACATTATGCTGAGTGAACTATCTCAGACACAAAAGGAAAAATTTCATATGATTCCACTCATACGGGGTACCTAGAAGAGGCAAATGCCCAGACATAGAGAGTAGAGTTGAGTCTACAAAGAGCTGGGGAGAGGAGGGGTGGGGAGTAGTGTTTAATGGGTACAGAGTTTTAATTTGGGATTATGGAAAATGTTCTGAGAGCAATTAGCAGTGATGGTTGTATAATATTATACATCATATTGCCCCTGAATTATATTCTTAAAAGTGGTTAAAATGGTAAATTTTATGTTGTACATACTTTAGCACAATAAAAATGAAAGAATACACCCACCCGTCTGGCTGCTGGCAAAAAGGGACCAGAGAGAGGTGATGTGCAGTCAGGGGAAGCTATGTGTGGAGAGAAGAATGGTGAGACACAGAGCAAGGTAAAGATGAGAAATCATACCGGCCAGAGAGGAACAGACAGAACAGCTGCTGGGCGGCCAAAGGGGGCCCAGCTCTGCACTTCATTCCTGGGAGACTCATCCATGTCTTTTCAGTGAATTACTTTATGCTCAGCTAGACTGACCGCCTCTGGGCTCCTTGAAGGGAGAGGAGCCTGATGAAGGCTAGGAGTGTAGCTGAGAGCCAGGAAAGACGTTGCCTGGGACGCCAAGCTCAGGTAGCTGGTTTCTGAACAGGACTACAGCTCCAAGAAAGCAGGAGACATGGCATCCCCTGCCCCTCAGATCCTCGCATGGTGTCTGCACATGCAGATCTTCAAAAGGGGCTGGGGGTGGCTCAGCAGTAGAGTCCTTGCCTGGCATGGGTGAGGCACTGGTTTTGATCCTCAGCACCATGTAAAAATAAATAAATAAAATAAAGGTATTGTGTCCATCTACAACTAAAAAAAATATTTAAAAGAAAGATATTTATCCAATGAAGGTTAAGAATCTCTCCCATGAGTTTACAGAGATCTGGGATTCCAGGCTCTCACTTACCAAATTCATATCAATAGCCACCATAGGAATTTAAGTCCCTAATTTTCCCCTATTACTGCTTTGAATGGCCACGCTTAGCTTTTCACAAAGACTTATACCTAATTTGTTCAAAGTCAAAGTCTCTGCTGACATTTCCATTTTATATAATCCTGAATACTTTCCATAAAATGTGAGTTCCAGCATGTTCAACATTTATTGGATTCCCAATGGTTTCCATCATACCAGGCAAAGAAAAGTTAAACCCACTTTCTTATGTATATAGAACACATAATGGTTTTTAATTTCATAATACAGTCACCCTCCATATCCATGGGTTATATATCCAGGGATTCAGTCAACAATGTATCAAAAATATTTTGAAAAAAACTGCATCTGTGCTGAAGATGTAGAGACTGCTTCTTCTTGTCATTGCCTAAGAACCCAGAGAGTACAGAATTAGTTACCTGACATTGTGTCTTACTAGGCATTATAAGCAATCCAGGGAAGATGTGAAACACATGGAAGAAGTGTGTAGGTCATGTGCAAACATACCATTTGATATAAGGGATTTCCCTCTCATTTTAGCACCCAGTGGGAGTCCTGCAACAAACCCCCTGCAGACATCAAGGGAAAACTGTACTCTATTATCCAGAGGTGAGAAAAAATATTGCCTTCCTTTCAAAACACAATGTCAGAATTTCAAGAGAGTCTTAGATAGCAAAGCTGGAGTTCTGCTCGTTTCCTTTTTCTCACTCATTCCAACCACCAGTGCATACGTTACTTCTAACATGGGGAACTAGAAACAACCTGATTTTATAAAAAAAGGGACACTTTCACAGATAGCCATTTATCACCAAATTGGGCTATCATGCTCAGATTGAGATGGCAACTCTTTAGAAGGAGACATTTACAAAACATAGTTAACTGAAAAGAGAGGAATGCAAAAGCAAACATGCAATTTCATTACAGTCATCTAAAAATGAATTTTGTAGCTATAAAGATTATGAGGTACCGAAAGGAGATGAAAACAGTTGCTACAAGGCAGTGAGACTGTTTACAGGATTTAAAAATATATTTAAAGTTTGTCTTATAAGATTTTTAAAAGTGAACTTTGAACACACACACACACACGGCTCCAAAATGAATGAAGATTTTTTGGCCAGGGCTAACAGATGCCTTGTCTGGGATTCTATAAGGCAGGGGTTCTTCAAGTGTGTTGCCTGGACCAGCAACATTACATCAATCTGGGAATTTGTAAGAAACAGGTTAAATTTGAAACTCTGGGCTGGTCCCAGTGATCTGTTCTGATAAGCCTTCCAGGTAATTCCCATGTCTGCTCTAGTTGGAGAGCCACTGCTGTCAAGTACCATTCTGAGGTTCTATGACTTCCACAGGTCTGCAGGGTCCACTTTTCTTCCCGTGTTTTCCCAAGCACCACTCTCACTGTTCACAAGAGCTCCATGCTACTCAACCAAGTGTAGGTCTTCACTGACAGCTGCACTCCTGCTGCTGAATTTCATCTTTACTGCTGCAGCCAGTTAACATGCACTGTACCCAGGTGTTAAGTGCTTTATTGTATCATCTCATTTAATCCTCATGACAGCCTCACAAGGCCAACGTCCCTATTGTATGGAAAATGGAAGCCAAAAAAAGTTCAAGATCACATCACTAGCAAATCATGGTTCAAGAATGACTTCAGAGCACAGGTTCTTTGCACCACTAAGGTTCAGAGAAGTAATGGGCTGGTGATATAGGTATGGTAGGGCTGGCGGGTGGACCCAGGCCTGCCTGGTTCCAAAGCCTGTTTGCCTTGTATCCACTCAGCTCTGCTGCCTCACACTCTCTGCTAGGCAGAATCATCTGCTCACTGCCCTTGGAATGCATCATTGCCAAGAATCATGCTGCTTGCCCACATCTCCTGTCTATTCTCTGCCACCCGCCCACATCCCACAGCTCTCCACGAGGCCTTCCATGTCACTTCCCTGAGATTCCTGGCAGAACAGTTCCCTCCCTTCTCTCGTCCCCCACCATGCTCTCTCTGTGTCCTGCTACATTTACCAATTCCCACTCTGAGTCACAGCACACAGCACACAACTCCTTAAGGTGAGGCAGAGGTCTAAGTTGGCATGGTGTCACCAGTGAGTGACAGAACAGGCACTGATTGAGTCAATCAATGTGTCTTTTAAGTGGCTAAATTCATTCTTTAGATATTTTATGTATCTTCTCTGCCCAGCTGGAAGACATTAAGCTCCTGAAGAACATTTATTTATTTATTTTATATTTTCAAGAGTCCTCAGCCCTGCGCCAGGTATATAGTCAAGTCCATAACATAAGCTTGAATTCAAGTAGAATGCTGCTGGTGCACAAGTCTGGTATAAATTTCTCTACTACTCAAACCCTGTAAAAAGGCAGCTTATGTTAACGGGATAATCAGGTCCTATACTAATGGATATAGCAACTCATTTTTTATAACTAGATAGAAACAGTAGATTTAATGTTCTTAACAGAAATTAAACAATAATAAGTAGAATTTTATGAGTACATTTTCCTAAAATTTGTTCAAAACTCTATGCAATTGAGGAAAAAATTATAATTCTGGTCTTTAAAAAAAGGTAAAAATGCTTATACTATACCTCTTTTAAATGAAAACATATTCTTTATAAAAATCATACCAGAAACTCCAATGTCTCTCATTAGGAAAAGGTGGGTATCTTTCATCTATTATAGTCATTCATCTAGTTCAACTAGTATGCTAGTAACAGGAGAGAAGATCGCATAAATATTCCAACTCCTGTCACATACCCAGAAAGCAAAGGTGCTGAAAATCAGAATAAGTATTTCAATAATAAACCTTGAAAACCAGCTCTTTAAACTTTTAGAAACAAGGTAATATAAAAATGAAATGCTACCTTTATTAATTCACAAATTATTTTATTAAATCCATACACCATTAACAGGAAAATATCAAGCCACAACATATATTTAACAAACTGAAGACATGAGGTTAAAAGTACATAACAATAAAAATAAAGATGATCAAATTATCATAGCCTTTCAATAGATATTTATTCCAATCCAGTCCTTACCCTGTACTCACATGGTCTAACAATAAATATATAGCAAAAGATTCGATGAGTTTGGCTGGCAATCGTCTCTAAATCTACATCAATGGATCATCACTGAACAGGCAGCATCGACTTACCAGCTCCACAGATCCATAATGTTTCCTACTGAAATCCCCACGTCTACAGCCTAGGTCTTCCGAGACAGAGCTGGAACAAAAATGCTTCATCAGTATTATACATAGCGATCTGGCCACAAACCTTCTGCAGAAATCAACTACCATTTGCAAAAAGGGCTGCTATGGAACGGGCTTGCAGCGCCCTGGCTCCTCACTGCAGGGGAGCCTCCGTGCGACAGATACGGTCCCCAGCAGCCATTGCAGAGCCCGGGTTTCATGGAGCCCTCAGTAAAAAGAAAAATGCCCGAGTCATCCCTGGAAGTATAGGCAATGATTGAATTAAATATTTAGTCATTTGGAATCGATTGAAATTTCCAAGGCTACTGGTGGTTTATAATTTCATTTCTCTATTACCAAAGGGGATAGAAGCCCTGCAGTAACTTGAGGCAAGGGACAAAGCTGCTGAACCAGATCTTGCAATTATCTTTTGCTTAAGTCTCTTTGTCCCAAATATGCAACATAAAAATAACCAGCATCATTTAATGCTATATTTTAAGCAGGAGACAAAAACTCCCAAATCCCAGTAGGCCCTACTCCCCAGCGCCCCCTCCCTCCACTTTAATTTAAGACTTTTATGTGGCAATATGAAAAAAGACCAAGACTAACAGAAAATCTGAAAACTGAACATCTGAGTCTCTTCGATTTTTTTACCCAGCAGCAGCTAATACATCCCACTTCCTCTCCCCCTCCCCACAAAATCAGGCTTAAATCAGATAAGAAAACTCACAGGTGTTGTTGAAGAGCAATTAAAACAAAGACAAAATTGTTCCTGCGTTTATGTCTCGAAAGCATAGTTATTCCTTCAAAAGGCACATACCTTATTGGCTAGTTAGTACCTTTAGGACCCCAAGCAGTACTCATGAATGCAACAGAGATCCACAAAATACAAAACAGTTTTAATAAGTTTGGTTCTAATACGTCATGCAAACAACTCTAATAAAACAGAAAATAAAACAACAGAGGAATCACAGGTTTAATATGTTCAAAACCTTTGGAATGTAACGTGCAAAGAAAGGTGCACTCGGTACCTTTTCATCCTTCCTTACAAGGAGGCTACATTTTCTAAATTACAGCCCTCTTGGTAAATTCGGAAAGACACCAGCTCTGATGTTTAGCATCCACAGAACTGACTCTCTGCCAGGACACTGTTTGATAGGCTCCAAGGAAGACAGCACGAGAGGAATGAGATTAGAGAGTCTAATGGTATTCTGCCTCCACCATTTCACAGAGACGTCTGAATTAATCTTATATGAGGAATTTAACCTTTTGTCGTCCTCACTCCCTTAGCTGAAAATGTATAACAGATCAAGGAAGGCAGTGTGGGAGGGGTCCCAGATGCTGCCCCAGCTACCTTCCTGCTTCTAGTGACATCATTTTCTTCCCCCGCAAAAAAATCTCTGAAGGAGAATTTTAAAACTTTCCCCTGTGGTGTGTTCCTGTCTGTTAAATCTTGTCTACACTCTCTCAACCCATCCTGCAAACCCTCCTAGAGACACCACCCTCCAGGTTCCAAGATCCTACCCCAGCAGCCTGAGGTTAGTTTACTAAGAGATGGGGGCTCTTGAGAGGAACATCCATGCACAGACTGACATGGGGCACAAAGCAGATGCCAATCTCAACCCACTGCTGCAGTGCCAGCCAGGCCCACAATGAAACCAGCATCAGCAGCAGTTCTAATGCAAATGGCCCATAACACGAAAAGAGCAAGGATGCCAGCCCCTCCCGGGTTGCTCTCAGTGCCACTGAGGGGGTTCTAAGATGCATGCCAATAGTTAGAAACAAACACAAGAAAGACGGCAACCTTATATCCCTGGAGCAACCACCTCCCTTAGACACTCATAGGGGAAAACACTGCCCTCTGAAAAAAACTGAGGGAGCTACAAAGAGACTGCTGCTATCTGCTGCCCCTCCACCCCCACCGCTAATTACATTTCATCCAATACACTGCAGAGAGAGAGAGAGAGAGAGAGAGAGAGAAGATCGGAGAGAGAGAGAGAGAGAGAGAGCGCTTCCTCAT